CCTACTTGGGCCCTATGCCCACCCTCAGAAGAAATGCTCTTGTGAGAGGGGTATTGGTAGAGGGACGGGGGAATTCAGAACTCTAATCTGACCCAGGCTGAGTGATGGGCTCACTCTGGGGAGGGGTGACAGAGGCAGGGAAAAGTGATCAACAGCCTCAATAGGACCAATAAGAATGGTGGGAAAATGAGGGTGCTAAGCACAAAAATAAACTACAGCTCTTTGATAAACACAGTCACCAGACATCACTCCCTTGTAGCAGAGTGATGATGTGCAGTGTGATACAGAACACTGTGTGGTGGTGAGGTACTACTGTCTGATGGGGAAGGTAAACTAATGTGGTATACTCTAGAGATGTGTGGTACACAGTTGTGAGAGACACTGCTGCTGAGGGGCAGTGTGGCCACACACACCAGAGAGCTCAGCCTCACCTTCAACTGCTGCTCCTCCCCCGCACCCAGTCTTCCATGACTGCCAACTTCCAGGCCTGTGCTCTTTTCTCTGCATTGTGCCTGGTTCTCCCTCCACACACCTGACTATTTCTCACTGAGCACCTTTCTTAAGGTGCTATTCATACCCTGCTTTGGGGTAAAATACAATACCGATCACACTGTATTATAGCACTCGGCATTTAATGGTAGCCTGATGGATGAAGGGGTGAGAAAACATTACTGACAATGAATAGAACAAATAACTGAACTCATCTTTGCACTCAACAAATATTTATTAACACAGAAATGAATAAGGCTTAGCCCCCTGTTCTCAGACACTCAGTGCAGAGGGGCAGACAATCACAAAGCTACAATAAAATCACAGTAGAATAAGTACTATCACCGAGGTATGGACAAAGTACTTTGGAGGCACAGTGAGAGGAATAAAGAGGGGGAGGGAGGAACAATTTTCCCATTTATACCTTCCTATAACATTCAGGGAGGGCTCCAGAGAAGTCATCTGTGAGCTGGGTCTTGAAGGAAGAGTAAAAGCCACCAGGTAAATAGTCAAAGAAGGAGCCCTACAGGCTGGGGCTCAGAGATGTAGGTAAGGCCAGGTAAGTGAGGGGTTCAGGAAACTAGGCATGAGTGACAAAAAAAGGAAATAAAGAGGGAATAACAAATGAGCAGAAGGACTCCAAGCACAAACCCATAGCTCTACTGTGGAAATTAAAGGCTAAAACGGAGGGTGGGAGGGCCTCAGATATGGGTCCCTGCCACTTCCTCAATCAGGCCATGGGGCTCAAATACAAAAGCCAGAGCTTCACAGCTGTGATCTAATTTCTCTAAGACACCAAAATATCAAGAACCCCTTTTCAGAAGCTAAGAATTTGTATGAATAATGCAGTTCTAAATGTGAAAGTCCCTAATGTTTTCATTTTTCTAAGATGAATTGATTATGCCTAGGAAGTAATTCAACTTCCTTCAGGGTATGAGATGAGGCATAGAATCTCAGAGGGGAAGGTGGGTTAGTGTTTAGGCCTTGCAGCCATCTCACAATTGAATGGTAAGATAATGATTAAAATGTCTATTTCCTTTTGCAAATTATATTGATATATCAACATAAAGCTTAAAAATATATATACTCACATACCCTTGTCTTCTTATTCCTGTCTCCTCCATTTATTTCTTTCATACCCGTCTGTATTTTAATATGCTTAAATAAAAAAATAGAACCTTTTAAACTTTTCATTTTAATAATTTTTTCTACTTGTTTTACATTTTTTCATTTGTCAATTTTTATGTAACTGTTTTAAGTTTATATTTTAAAATCTTTATTTAATTAAATATTTAAAATTTTCATTTAAATCTCTTGAATTGAACTTATCTAAAGTTCTTTTTATTTTACCAGTATTTTCTTCCTATTTTTTTTCAATTTTTGTCTTTAAACAAATTTTGTCTTTTCATTTTGAATTATTTTAAACTTTCCTCTTTTAAAACTTTTCTCTAAAATTTGAATTACATTCCATTCTGTATTTTTGGAAATATATTTCTTAATCATTACAGTAACAATTTTGTTAACACTTTTTAAATGTGTATATTTTATGCTTTAATTTTGACATATCTATTTATATTAGTTTCCTTCATTTGAAATTTTTAAGTTTTAAGATGTTCCTTTTTTTTAACGTTAATTTTTAACAGTATTTTTTTCATTTTTTGGTAAACTTTCATTTTTAACCTTGTTCCTTGTTTAATCTATTTTACATTTTTAAACTTTAAGAATTTCTTAATTTCATTTGCTTTTAATTTTTAAAATTCTGAAACTTCTTTAAATTAAAAAATTATTTTTAATTTTTAAAATATTTTTTAAAAATATCGACTCAAATTTTTTCAACATTTAAAAAAATTTTTTTAAACTTGAAAAATGATTTCTTTCCTTTTTAAATGTTTTTCTTTTAAAGCTTTTTAAATTTTATTTTAAAATATTATTTTTCTTTCAAACTATTTGGTCAGCCACAGCTGGAAGACCAATTGTGAAGTTTTTGCTGATAAAGGTATACTTTCTGACTTCACATGGTATTTCTGTGAAACAAATGACATATAGTAGCATCAGAACACCTCTACTCCCTTTCTCCCCACCTAAGGCATTCTTTTCACTTGATTATGCTTTATGAGACCATTTTCAACCTCTTCTCCCTCTCCCCATTTCTTAAGGTTGAAAGGTCACTGGTTAGTATTCATTTTTTTCTTCCTACATACCCATGAGCCATGCTAAAACAGGTTCTTTACATCAAGATACTGGCTGTCATAAAGTTGTTATTATCATTTTCCATTCCAAGTAGGTTTGTGTGTCACTTCAAATCCTTGCCTAATCATTTACTTTTTTTTCAGTAAGTGGTCTGGTAAGACTAGTCTTTCTCTAGGCCCTGTTTGTGATAGAACAGTAAATACCCTTCACTGTAGAGTAAGTCCTCAATGGTAGCCTTGGTGATGATGGCATCATCACAGCTGAACCACTGGTCCTTTTGTTGCCGGATAAAGCTGGTATAGTGGCCACTCTCCAAGGTTCCTTGGTGATTAACCACAGCAAACAAGGAATACTTATTTTCGTTGTTTCCACTATTGGTTGGCAGCTGCAATTGTCCATTCATTCTGCTCTCTTTACTTGAGGCCATAAATGGTGTCATATCCAGCTCCAGAGGAAAGGAAATGTATGTAGTGATCTTGCGCCTCTGTTTGGCTGAATGTTCAAACCGTTTGAAATGAAAACAGGCAACGACAGGTAATTTATTCATCGTGAGCTGTTTGGTAGATTCCTGGTAGCTTTGGCAACTACCACATTTGATTTTGGCACTGCTTCCTAGATGCTCTGGCCTTGTAAACCACTGTAGGCAGTCTGTAAGTGAGGGGATTCCTGGTATGTGGTCATCCCTGCTCACTGTGCCATCAGCCCTCTCCGGGTTCTGGGAATCAAATGTGGCACAAGAGCCAGGCAAGTCCAAACTGATATCCCAGCATGGGTCTATGGTGGTGGAAACACTATGGCAGGTTTGACATGTGACATCTGACTGCAGGCCACCTGTAAAGATTTGGTCTATAATGCAGTTACAGCAGTTGGGGTTATTGGTCTCCTGCCCACCACTATCATCTTTGCTGTGTCTATGTAGCACATCTAATATAGCAATAAGGAACTCATGGGCATCCTGCTGCCTGTACCCTGCTAAATGTTCTGCATGAATCCATATCAGATGCAGTAACTTATAGGGAATGTGAGGAGTTCGGCTCCCAGAGTACATAGCATGAAAAAGCGAAGACATTTCACAGACCAGACACAAGCTGGGGCTTGTCATTATACATTTGTGCTTGTCAGAGAGGAAAAAATCTTTCAGTAGAGGAATATGGGTAAGTGCCTGGACAATACAATTCATAAAACAAGTGTTCCCAAGATTGATTAGCCCTCTCAGGCCTACAGTATAGACTGACTTTTTTCTTCTCTTTTTTTTGGGTTTCACCAATTTTGGTTCCTGTTCCTTTGTCTCACAGATTGATTGCTTGTCTTCTATCCCTGATGTCATAAACTGTTGATGAGAAACGTCTGTTGAGGTGGAAGTTAAGAATCTCAAAATTTTTTCTTTTGTTTCTTTGGCAATCTGTTCTATGTCTTTGTCATAAACATAATCCTTACACATGAAGCAATATATAACCCCATGATAAAGATCTACAGCTAAATGGTGCTGCTTTGTTTCTGCATGTCTGTGAATATGTTTCTCAGTGAAGCAGCCGAAAAAGACACAGGAGAGACAAGAGTGGAGTCTGTTCATATGGGTACTACATACATGACAGATGCATGACTTTGCTTTACGTTTCCTAGTCTCTGGGGTCCCACTCCAAACGAAACGCTGGTAGATCAACCTCAGGTTCTTCTGCCAGTTCTTACCTACTTTAAAGCTCTCCACATGAGAGCAGCCTGTGGGACCCTGCCCAAACTCGACCTCCAGTAACCAGTCCCCTAAACCGCCAGGATCCCTCGAGCCGTCTAGGTAACCAGAGCAGCTTCTCCGTGTCTGAGGCCTGGAACCAGGCCGGGATCTGCGCCGGGATCCACGCCAAGCCCGGGGCCGCGGTGCGGGTGGGGGCGGGGGTGGCGGCGGGAGCGGGGGCCGGGCCGGAGGCGGGGGTGGGGCCGAGAGCCCGGGCAGGCAGCGGGAACGGGCCCGGGGCTGGGGCCGAGGGCGGGGCTTGCGGCGCGGGCAAACGGGCGAGGAGCTGCTGTGACAGCGAGGGGGGATAGAAGGGAGCACCTTCTCGTCGCCGCCGCTGCTGCTCCACGTCAAGTTCTCCTCCGGTGCAGGCTTACGCTCCTGTAATGGCTCCAGCTTCATCTCCTCAGCTTCCTGGCCCCAATACGCCTTCGTCGCCCCTGCCGCCTCCTCCTCCATTTTCCCCGCCTTCTCAACCGCCTCCTCAGGCGAGGCTCCTCCCCCACCTCCCGAGCTCCAGCGAGCCCCAGAGCCGGAGAGCAGAGAAGTTTCTCGAACCTGGGCCATCAGATCACTGTCCGACCTGAGGAGCAAGGCGTCTGGAAACGAGCTGCGACTGTAGATGGAACGAGACAGGGACTTCGTTGAATGATCTGCCCAGCGTCATGGCCGCGGTGCGCAGTTAGCGCCCCTAGGACCCCTCCCATCGGCCCTTGAGCTCAGCCGGCGGCTGCTGCCGGCTCCACCCACTCAACTGAGAGGCCCCTGGAACTGATGTGGAGACCCAGGGTTACCTGCTTTAAAGACGATCAGATCATGCGGGGGCCAGGGGACTGGGATCAGAAGGCTAGCGGGCGGTGGGGGTGGGGATCGGTCTCAGCTTTAGGATGGAAAGGATGGAAACTTCTTTAAAAAAGGCGCCACCCTCTGACTGCTTTTTTGCGCCCTGCGCAGCCTCGCTTTGGTGCAGCTTCCTCTGACGTTCTTTCCCTGTATCCTAAAAAACACTTGGGTCAACATTTTATCTCAAAAATGGCTGAAAGGAGGCACCTATGGAAAATGAACTCGGAGGAAGACAGTGTCCCACTGCTCCTAACTTACCTATACTTCTGTGGCCCGCTGTGTTCCCCCCTAAGCCGTTGCCCCTCAGCGCACTTTCCGTCCGCCCGGCTCTTGCGCCCTCTCACGCCTTTTCGCGCCTGTGCTCTCACACCCCTTTTCTTGCTTCTGAGACTTAAATTCCTATGATTTAGCCTAGATTTTGGATCACTACTCCCTCCTTTCAGGCATTTGCCACTCCTATACCACCACCATCCTCCTGCGACCCCCGAAATCCCCGCTCGCTTTTCCCACTCCTGTCCCCGCAACGCCCCCAGCCCGGCGGTTTGTTTAAAGGTCTGGGTTACCTTGAGCCCCAGGCGCGTGATATAGAACGTCAGCAACTGCTGCTGTCCAGGCGCTCCTCAGCCAGCCTTCTCTCCTGACCTCTCCTCAGGGCTGGTCACAAGGGGGCCGCCCCCTGGCCCCTCCCCTCTCGACGTGCGGCCCCCAGCCCCGGATTCTGCCCTCCTGCCGTGATGAATGGCACCGCTGTCCCGCGCAGGCAGGCAAACCTCTTCCTGAAACAGAATCTACTGAAGGCAACAGCAGCAACAGATTCTACAGAAAGCCCCTGAAATGGAGGCTCAGGCCTCACCTAGCTCCAGGCCCGCACTCTACAGAAAAAAAGATTCACCCAGGCGGGGGTGGGGGTTTCCAGAGATGGCAGCTCTCTGGCAGGAATCCCTCAGGATCCTGTCAGACTCTGGTCTCTGGGAGTTAAGGGGAGATCTATGTATCTATCTATCAATCAATCAATCAATCAATCATCTATCTATTGTCCCAGAATATGCAGGGGAGGAAGCATAAGCAAGGGCTGAGGCTCAGAGAGACCTGAGCCCAGGCACGTGCTGGCTGTGTGACCTGGGATAAAACACTTAACTTCTCTGAGCGTTAGTTGTGTCAATTTTTTTTTTTAATGAAATAATCCTAACCCAATGTAAACACGAAATCATAGTATACATCAAGTAAAAGATCTTTATGGCAAGCTTTATTATTCACACTTCGTTTTTCAGTCCCTACCTGAAAATCAGCATAGAGAACAACTCCTGATGCAGAGTGGAGGAGAAGAGAATCCCTTCTCTTTCAAAGCTCTCTCAAAGTTATAGCTCAGTTTACCCGATGATCCCTCCTAGACAAGATACAACTCTTTGTGTCCTCAAGTTCAGAGGCAAGGAGACTTTTCCTTTTCTTTAACAGATTCAACAACCAAGGCAACAATCCACAAGAAAGCTATCTCCAAGGCCTGTTGCCCTTGCCGTCCATCCCAAGAAAATTACGGTTTATTACAGAGAATGTTTAATGATACATTTAATCTCTCTGAGACAGTCACACACCTCCCCTCAAAATCTCACTATTAGGATTCAGCTCTCTTAACTTGAAAATGCAATCTAGTGGATACCTCCCCATAATGGATATTAGTGATTTTGTGACTAGGTTTAGATTCGACCATATCTCAGTCACGTACAAGCACCTGGAGGGAAAGTGCTTTAAAATTATAGACTAGCTTGTACAGGAAAACCTGATTTTTCTCCTCTAGGGAAAGGCTTTTTCTCAGCCACAGCTAACCGAAGAGTTGCTCCTCTCTGGGTTAGCAGACCTAGAAGGAAATGCTGAGCCAGTCATTTGCTAGCTGTGCCACCT